TGATGATACTTCAAGCAGCAGACATGAACCTTAAGGATGGCTTCTACTAACAATGAATATTCCTTGCACGAGAATCGAATATTTTCAAGCCCACATTACCTTTAGAATAGATAGTAACTGCAGTACATCCTAATGTCCAGACAAAATTGTTGAAATTTTCGGATAAAAGTGATTGAAAGGCTCTTCAGTCTTGAACACATTTAAAAGTGTGGGTAATTCTCTCTGCATTAAAAATGATTGTATGGTTAACCGAGACACTGACTTGAATACAACTGATTTCCAGTACTCATTATTGACAAGAGATCATTAGCATAATTGTTCCTTGTTTGTTATGGTAAATCAAAGAGCATAAACTCATTGCGACACACTGTTGTCCTCAATTTTGTCCAAATAGCAACTCATTAGCTTGGCTATATGGTGCCATTATTGTTTTGCTAGGGTCAATGTACCATGCAGTAGGACCAGGATTTTTCTCACCATCTGAACTCAGTTAAAATTTTCAATAGTTTGATGCGTTTGTCTGACTCTTATAAAGACACAAGTGTCTATTACAAGAAAAGATTGATAAATACCACCTTGCTCTATACTTCAATTTCATTATCTTCTGATATACCCTCACTGAAAAATTCAACAAATACCTCTTATCAGGTTTCGTAACTTTATTTAATCTTACCCTCTTCGTATTAAGCTTACAAATATTCTTTGTAACTCTTCTAACCTTCACGTAACAACGTAGCCAAGAGGACTTCGGTATGCGTGGACGAATATTTAGTAAATAAACCCCTTCGGGGGGCTGGTATGTCGGCTGATAATGTCCGCGGCTGAGAGATTGTCCGAAAAATAAATATCTGGCCGAGAAGCGAAGCTTCGAGGGCAAATATGAAATTTTGTGTAGTCGCTAGTTTCACACTTTATTTCGTAGCTCACAATCGAGATCAATTTTATGATTTATTTATTTATTTTATTTATTTGAATGTATTTTATTTATTCGAATGTATGAGCCTTTGGAATCCGCAACAACGCAAACTGAAAACTTCAACAACCAACATGTCCGACTCCAAAAAAAACAAAAACCTCCACGTGTTTTTCTCCTCGCTCGCTATGCCTTATGGGAGGCACAGGCTTCCCAACACTGAAAACAAGAAATTCCCCTTTTTTGTAAATGTTAAAAAAAAAAGGTAACAACAACATGTGATAATGTTAAAGATGATGGTAATGATAATGATTCTAATAAATTTTAGAATAGTGTCATGATAATTATAAATTATTTCAATGATAATTCCGTAACTTCACGTCAATAATGGAATCGATTTCAATCTGAAACTCACAGTAATAATTTTTAAAGACATGTATCGGCATGACTCGTGCCCTTATCCGTTTTTTTTTGTTGTATCCATTTACTTTGTTTTTACACGTTACGTGAAAAGAACGTCATCGATGCGATTTGAATCAATTGACTATAGATAAAAATTGCAGTACCGTCGAATATTCTCACTTGGTTTTAATTATGATTATCATCATTTTCAATATCATCACTTTTCAATAAAAGCCAGGCTATGACTCACCACTATAAAAATTAAGGTTTTGGTCCTTGAACAGGTTGCGCGTCAATTCTCCATAACATCTCCGTTGTCTAGTTCTAACAGGGATACTTGGGTATTATTGTTTTTTGTGCTTGTCAGATGGCAGTATTTGTGAGGAACCCCGAGGAATACAAGGAGCTTTCTTTTCCAATGGGGTCTTTCACGATTACTGCCATAGTCGATCACACTTCTTCCTCGCAAACCTTCGGGTAGCAGTCCTAAATCTGCGCCATCAATTCTTATGATAACCAAACTGTCGTCATTTCTGCTGAGAAGTCTTTGCTTCGCTTGATTTAATTCATACGCGCAAAAACAACTGTTCAAAAATTTCATCGAGTAAACAACTACATTTTTATAACTTTTGTGAATGCTATCTGACATCTGATCATAGAAACTACCACCAGCTTGGAAGTCTCTGTAGTGGACTCGGCATCTTAACATGTACTCTCCTTCAAGGAGCGGTAGAAGCTTTTCTTCCACCCACTTAGAGTCACAACCATTAAACATTATGAATACATCGTAATCATAATTTTCAGGCCCAGGATCTGAAAAAATGATGAACGACAAAATTGTTAACTTGTGAAGGAGTTTTCATGCAAAAGAACTGTAGAATCCCAGAAATGTAAGTGTTACTGACAAGGGTAGAAATGTGAAAAGTCAATGCTATTAAAAACTTGAGCAGGCTTCACAAGAATATGAATTGTAGGCGTTTTTTAAGATTTGCAACTTACCAAACACGGCGGATTATGAAGGCTAACCATATTTTTATTTCGAAAGCGAGAGTAGTATCCTATTTTGGCTCACATCTTACCGAGGATGGAAATCGTGCAAAAAGTGTCACCCGCTATTGAAAAAAGGGAGCTTTAATTTGTTCCACATGAAGAGTCAGGATTTTAATTTGGTGTCGATAGTCCATGGTTGTTCAGTTTTTCGCTTTTGCAATAGATGTGATCATGCCTTAGCTTGAATAGACACTGAGCAAATTCACAAAATGAATTGACCAAGTGTGCTGTTTTGGTAAAAAAAAGAAATTGTCTCAAAGTTCATGAAAATCTAAAACCTACAGTGTCCTATAAAGAACAAATTCGACTGAATTAGCAAAATAAATGGTTATGGATAGATCTTATCCAAACGTGATTTCAAAATAAGCTACGTAGATAAAGAGGATCCACTAAGCTAGTTGCCCCTCCAGGAGATATTATTGGTATTTCTTTATTGAAAAACAAATACAAACCGTCAGATGAATGGTCATATCTGGATCCTCTGTGTTGTAAACAGTTTCTGGTAAATCTTTTATAAAAAAAACCAGCCAATATTACTGCAAAGACACCAGCAACAACACCAACGGAACTGGACACGTACTGCATGGCTTTCTTAGGGCCTGGGTGAAAATAAATTATTTTTAGTAATCATCAAATCAATAAAAGCGTCTTATATGTCTTTCTTTTGTGACTCTTGATCTGATGTTATCAATTATGTCCAATTTCCACGGAGGCATGTTTAAAGTGAAAGATCGTTCTTAAGAGTCTATCAAACATTCGGTCCTGAGAATTCATCTTTGCACATTCTGTCGAAAGGAGAATAATTGGGTAATTGCCTAAGAATCTTTGATTAAAGCCAGGCCGCCATGCCTGTTAAAAGACAAACGCAATCAGGCTGTGTATGATTAATATTAGAAGTAACATCACTGCCCTCTTATTTGACGATATAAACACCTGCGTTGCAATGGCTGTCCGATGTCCACGAAATTCTTCGTTTGAATTTCTCGTTCAGTTCTCAGCAGCTAGTACTAATCGCAGTTGCCTAGACAATCTTTACGAATTGCATTACTTTACGATTTCTGAGATTGATTTCCTTTTGTTTTCAACTCTTTTGTAGGACGCAACATTACACATCCTAATAACAATAACGCTGGGTCCTGTGGGTTTTAAACAATCCTCAAATCAAAGTTCTTTTTTGATCTTACCGGCTGTCGTTTGAGTTACAAGTGAGAGTGACTTTGGAACAGCTGTTAGGAGAAAAAGCNATCAGGCTGTGTATGATTAATATTAGAAGTAACATCACTGCCCTCTTATTTGACGATATAAACACCTGCGTTGCAATGGCTGTCCGATGACCACGAAATTCTTCATTTGAATTTCTCGTTCAGTTCTCAGCAGCTAGTACTAATCGCAGTTGCCTAGACAATCTTTACGAATTGCATTACTTTACGATTTCTGAGATTGATTTCCTTTTGTTTTCAACTCTTTTGTAGGACGCAACATTACACATCCTAATAACAATAACGCTGGGTCCTGTGGGTTTTAAACAATCCTCAAATCAAAGTTCTTTTTTAATCTTACCGGCTGTCGTTTGAGTTACAAGTGAGAGTGACTTTGGAACAGCTGTTAGGAGAAAAAGCGAAATAACCATGAGTGACCGACAGATAAAATCTTCAAGTTCCTCGCCAATTTGTTGTTGTGTGTTGTAGATTCGACATGTATATGACGACAAGAGCGTACCAAACTCAATACACCCAAGCTTCAACACTCTGGTTTGTTTGACTAAAAAAAGCCAGCTTGAGTGACCGGACGAAAACATGATGTCTAAGTATTTTTGTTTTTTTGTTTTTGTTTTTCTTTTTTTTTTCAGAAGTAACATGCAAGTCTGAAGTCGTGATTGATCATGGTCTTTAAACTGAAGTCTTTGTAACGAAACAGCAGTTCTTCGAATCCTTCCATTCAGAAAGAAATGCAATTTTAACAATGGTTACATAAAAAACTCTTTGTTTGGCCGGCAGCGATCTCTTTCACGATCAGCACCGTCTCATTAGAGATATCCTGTCACCATGTTATCCACGTTTTCTTTTTGCCATCATAAAACTAATTTCTTACTATAGTTGTCGGTACAACTTACGTGGTTGAAATGAAAGTGCTTTTGAGATGTCTTCTTTTGGAGAGTAAGGAAGACCAAGAATCTTAAAATAAAATTTGAGATCACAATGTGGTGAGAAGCGTCTCTCATTAAGAGCAAATGAGCCCAGGAATCGAACATTTTCAAAATATGGTGGCAAATGCCAAAAAATCGATTCGGCTCATATTCTCAAGTTGGGTTGGCCTAAGAGTGAAACAAACCACTGCATACTTGGTTTGCATGAATATCGATTTATTTTCGAGAAAATCGATAACAACTGAATTCCGCCAAAATGTGGCCTATAAAAAGTACCAATTATTGAAAAACAACATCAAAACATATGTTGATTGCAATTTGAGCAATTCTTGACCATTCAGTTGCACAATCTAATTGAATTTATCCGACCTACTCCCAACTAGAAAAATAGGTCAAAAGTAGCCAGTGATTTAACTATGTGCTATAAAAAACAATTAACCGAAAATCTGGGTTTCGGAAGGCGGAAGGTAGTTCTTTTGGATCTCCAAAGAATTTTTTGGGAAAATGACTCGGGGCGATTTAATCAAATTTTAAAGTTGGATAAAATGCGCCGATTCGATGGTGTCGTCAATTAGTTGAAAATGTACACATACTCACGCAGACTCAATTTTTTGGCATTTTACGTTCAATCTACTGCTTATTTAACATAATATGCTCTTACCTTCCATATTTCTAAGGATTGCAGTCCTGAAATTGTTGCATCTACCTCACAATAGCGATATTACTTGAAAGGATAGTCAACGCCTCCCGTATAATTATGGTTCACAAAGCGTATCTCGGGGTTTTTGATTTGAGGTTTCTCTATGCCCATTTCGTTGAAAAAGAGGCTGTAAATACTTCACGTAAGAGATCTTTGCTT